CCCATATAACTGTACCTCCCGATATTCGGTATTTTGATGATTTTAGAAATATTTTTCACCGGAATTTTTTCAATTTTGTATTTGAAGTTCGTAATGAATACGCAGCCTAAGGCAGAAAATTGTCTGTGCCGTTCCACATTTTGGTATAGAACCAATATAGTAGTACCTCGATATATTAGTGATTTTAGCTACATTATTTACCCAGTTTTTTCAAGTTTCGCATTTGAATATTGTAATGCCACACTAACTAGTTCTGAAATAAACCTCATATGAGTTTAACTTTACGAAAAATTTTGGCCTCCAGCTTGGGTTATTGACGTTTTCCTTGTTTGTGGGTTAATGCTGTTCCTAATATTTGCTATGGATGAATTAAATTTTGCCCAGAACTTTCTATCGGTTCTTAATTTTTCAAAAAAGGACTCTTTATTACGATAGATTCACGTACCGACAACATGACTTTAACTATATAAAATACAGTTTAAATGCAAACCGTCACATTTTTTAAAAAATTAAACTTTCAAAAACAAATTGGTGTAAAATCATACATGGGCATCCTTTAAAGTATTTTAACTCGTAGTTGTTAATATATTTATTAAAAATTTGATTTCAACATGATTATACCCCTAATATAGATATTTCTTAAAATCGGTATTTAAGTCCTCGTTTAAATTTGTTTGTTATTTATATGAAACACACCCGTATCACTTAAATGAGAGCTTTGAAAGGAACAACACGATAGTAAACATATCGCAATTATTAGCGTAACTTTTTTAATCACTAACATTTTTCCAATCGCTTCTTGTACCCGTATCGAATTCCAAAACGAAAATAACGAATTTAATGTATAAACCTCGATTTAAAGGTTTTAGTTTGGGAAAAGAAAGCCAGTTAGCAGCGCGAGACTATCGACAACGTCGTCGTTTTTCGTCAATTTCTTTAAACCGTAAAAAGCAATGACATGCTTGTGTGGTGGAGAATGGCGACGTTTGTGCATAAAAACTTGCACGCAACTCCATACAAAGAAAATATTTCATACGAACAACCGTGTCCGGAGGCGTGTTTGTATGGGCATTGTGAAGTTTTTATACCCTACACCACAAGGTGGGCAGGGTATTATGTCTTTGTGCATTTGTTTGTAACATGGAGAAGGAAGCGAGGTAGACCCATAGTTACTTTTGAGGATCTCCATAGAATCACTTTCTGAGTTGATTTATGCATGTCAGTCCGTCCGTCTGTCCATGTATTGTTGTGAACAAAATGCAGGTCGCATTTATTATCCGATTAAGATGACATTTGCACAAATCATTTGTTTGGTCCAAGGACGAACCCTATTGAAATTGGAGATAATCGGTAAAAATTTAGATATAGCTCCCATATATATCTTCGTCCGATTTGCCATTCATTGCACCAAACATGTAATATCAGCCCGAATAGTATGGAGTTTTGCAGGGAGATATATCAAATACAGCTCAGAAATATCTTTGCCAAATTTTATTGAGATCGGTTCAGATTTGGATATAGCTCCCATATATATCTTTATATGATTTCAAATTAATCTTGCACCAAATGGGCAATACAAGTCCGAATTTAAAAGATACAAGTGCTTCGGCATATTAAGTCCTTTGAACTTTAAATTTTACTTATAATTATAGCGTGTATGATTGAAAACGTTTAATTGTTACGTGGAGCTCTACTAAATTAGCAAAGTGGTGTAGGGTATCAAAAAGTCGGCCCCGCCCGACTTTACGACTTTCTTTACTGGTTTTCTCATTAGTCTGTGACTGTGGTCCTAATTTGTAATACAAAAACGTTCAAATACACACTGAAACAGTATTGATTGTTTGTCGTATATCTGATGTTTAATGGCATACATACATAATGGCATGCATTAGGCAATTGCTAACAAAGTATTTATACTTATTCTACATTCTACTCACATATCAGTAAATTGGGATATGATTTGTATTGGTATATTATAATACCTGTCGAAACCATCTTTCGTAGTACTTATGATTTTTATTTGGGTTAATGTAAGCCCTTTATGGTGTGGATTGACTTTTCATCCACTCATATTATGTTTCCACTACATATAAATAATTTCATATGTTGGCATAATCTGACCTTTTGATACGGTTGTAATACAAGTGTTTATTTTATTTCAAGATCTATTTTTAATTCAATTGTCAGCATTATTTCAAATTTGTTATTTGAAGTTCGTAACGGATACTTCAGCCTAAGAGAGAAAGGTGTATGTGAAGATCCACGTCTTCGTCTGGCCCCCATATAACGGTACCTTCCGATATTCGGTATTTTGATGATTTTTACGATATTATTCACCAGAATTGTTTCAAATTTGGTATTTGAAGTTCGTAGATAATACAGCCTAAGATAGAAAATTGTCTGTGCAGGTCCACATTTTGGTATAGCCCCCAAAATACCTCCCAATATTTGGTATTTTGATGATTTTAGCGACATTATTCATCAGAACTGTTTCAAATTTTGTATTTGAAGTTCGAAATGACGAGTTTAGTTACAATACCCACCGAAATTGTTTGAAATGTCGTATTTGAAGTTCGTAATGAATGCTATAGCCTGTGACAGAAAATTGTATATGCTGGTCCAGGTCTTCGCACAGCTACGATATAACGGTACCTCCCTCCATACGATATTTTGTTGATTTTAGCTACATTATTCGCCGTTTATTTCAAGTTTCGAATTTGAATATGGTAATATAATATAACGGCTATATTCGGTATTTTTTAAATTTTAACAGAATTTGTAAGGATTTTATTTATTTTTTTTAATTTCCAAATTCGTTACAACTGGTGGTGGGTATTCAAAGTTCGGCCTGGCCGAACTTACTGCTTTTTAACTTGTTCTTTACGATATCGGAAAACTTGTGGATTCTTGCAGGTTCTGAAACAGAGTAATTTTTTACTATTGGAGATATTAATTATTTTAATAGCCCATTGGGATTTTTGTCAAAAACAAATCTGAAATACTTATATTCCCAAAAACAAAAAAATGATATATTTTATATTTATTAAGATCACTCCTACAATTAGTAAAAAAAAACTTAAGAAACGCATAACATACTAGTCCTCAAATATACCTCATATGAGTTTAACTTTACGAAAAATTTTGGCTTCCAGCTTGGGTTATTGATGTTTTCCTTGTTTTTTGGGTTAATGCTGTTCCTAATATTTGTTATGGATGCATTAAATTTTGCTTAGAACCTTCCATTTTTTCTCAATTTTTAAAAAGGGCTCTTTTCTACGATATGTTTCCTTCATATTAAAGAATACTTCCAGCTCATTTTAAATGTCTAATATAAATTCACGTACCGACAACATGACTTTAATTGTATAATTCCGTCGAAAAATATCGCTTAAATGAAAATCGTTATACGGGAGAAGACGTGGACCCGCATAGACAATTTTCCGTCATGGGTTGTAGTACCCATCACGAAATACAAATAAAAAAATTGAAACAATTTCGGTGAATAATGTCGCTAATATCATCAAAATAGCGAATATTGGGAGGTATCGTAAACCTGCGTAGACAATTTTCTGTCATAGATTGTACTATGCATTACTAACTTCAAATACAAAATTTGAAACAATACCGATGAATAATGTCGCTTATATCATCAAAACACCGAATACGGGAGGTACCGTTATATGGGGGCCATACCAAAACATGGACCCATATATACAATGTTTCGCCACCGGAGCTAGAACTCATTATGACCTACAAATACCGATTTTTAAACAATTTCGGTAAAAAATGTTGCTAAAATCATCCAAATACCAAATATTGTTACGTACCCTCATATACGAAAACGTGGACCGGCACATATTAACCTGCCTATTGGTAAAAACATACGTGTGCAAATTTTTATCCTTTTATCTCGATTCGTTCCACCTCTAAATCGATTTAGAATTTTACGCTGATTAAGAATATATATATTTTGTTGTCTAACATGAGAATTTCGAGAAGTTATAAAATGGAACTCGTCTAGCCACTAAAATAGCATATAATATGCCAACGGAGAGAAGTGTCGCATATTAGTTGATGCGTGGGACTTCGCTAATATCCGATTTTCAATGTCACCTCCTTAGGTCATTATAATCTCAACTTGAAAGAGAAAATTATCAAATATCCACCAACAAATAACCTTCGCCTTAATAAGGCAAAAAATTCAAATAACATTTTGGTTTGATTAACAAAATATAATTACAAATGCTCGGTATTTTAAAGTTTTTTGCCATATTTACCACAGAAATAACTGTACTTTGGCGCTTTTAGAGCAATTTAGAAGAAGATTCACCTCTCAATTTTTTTAAAAAATCGAGATATTTGATTTGTCGTTTATAACATTAACCCCCACTTATATGTGTTTTGAGAGTCCTAACCACTACAATTTTATATTTATATTGTTTTGAACACATGCTCCAATACACAAATTTTAGGAATTTTAAGGCATATATTTTCCCAATTATTTAATTTTTTACATTATTAAGGAAAAATATTCGTCCCGGCCAAATGCAAGAAAGTGAACATGACGAGCTTTGAAAGTGTGTACAGTAGTATAGACTTATTAGCTTTATGACACATCTTATGTGGGTTTAATTATACTAATTCGATAGCGTAAACCAAAAAAGACACATAAATTTATAATCCTTCGTCTATAATAATGCTGTACGAGTTCCACTAAGCATTTAAAAATAAACCAAATTTATCTTTTTGGTTTCACCGTATATCGCTTGTTATACTTTCTTTGCTTTTCGTAAACCACCAAGATAACACATTTTTTAAAAAATTAAACTTTCAAAATCATAAAATCATACATGGGCGTCCTTTAAAGTCTTTTAAGTTGTATTTGTTAATATATTTATTAAAAATTTGATTCAACATGATTATACCCCTAATATAGATTTTTCTTAAAATCGGTATTTAAGTCCTCGTTTAAATTTGTTTGTTATTTATATGAAACACACCCGTATCACTTATATGAGAGTTTTGCAATGCATTTATGTAAGTGTCGTCAGGATATGCGGCATCACTTTTACAAAAGGAACAACACGATAGTAAACATATCGCAATTATTAGCGTAACTTTTTTAATCAATAACATTTTTTCAATCGCTACTTGTACCCGTATCGAATTCCGAAACGAAAATAACGAATTTAATGTATAAACCTCGATTTAAAAGTTTTAGTTTGGGAAAGAAAGCAAGTTAGCAGCGCGAGACTATCGACAACGTCGTCGTGAAAGAATTTCAATTTCTTTAAACCGTAAAAAGCAATGACATGCGTATGCGGTGGAGAATGGTGACGTTTGTGCATAAAAACGTGCACGCAACTCCATACAAAGAAAATATTTCATACGAACGCACCCGTGTCCGGAGGTGTGTTTGTATGGGCATTGTAACGTTTTTTTCTCATTAGTTTGTGACTGTGGTCCTAATTTGTAATATAAAAACGTTCAAATACACACTGTAACAGTATTGATTGTTTGTCGTATATCTGATGTTTAATGGCATACATACATAATGGCATACATTGGCAATTGCTAACAAAGTATTTATACTTATTCTACATTCTACTCACATATCAGTATATGGAAAACAAGTAAAGTACAACATGTAAATTGGGATATGATTTGTATTGGTATATTATAATACCTGTCGAAACCTTCTTTCGTAATACTTTTGATTTTTATTTGGGTTAATGTTAGCCCTTTATGGTGTGGATTGTCATTTCATTCACTCATATTATAATGTTTCCACTACTTATAATGACTTTCATATGTTGGGATAATCTGACCTTTTGATTCGGTTGTAATGCAAGTGTTTATGTTACTTCAAGATATATTTTTAATTCAATTGTCTCTTTAAATACCCAATAACTCTAAAACAAATCTAGATTTGAAAGTGCCAAATTTGGTCCAAACGTATAGAAATCGTACTGCAAGATGTTGAGTTCAGTCCATCTCATTATTTAGGGTATAAAGAGTTTAGACATTTAAAACCAGTAAAGAAAGTCTTCAAGTCGGGCGGGGCCGACTTTATGATACCCTACACCACTTTGCTAATTAAGTAGAGCTCCACATAACAATTAAAAGTTTTTATGGGAGAATTCAATCATACACGCTATGATTATAATTATAATTTAAAGTTCAAAGGACTAAATATTCCGAAGCATTTGTATCTTTTAAATTCGGAATTGTATTGCCCATTTGGTGCACAATTAATTTGAAATCGGATAAGGATATATATGGGAGCTATATTCAAATCTGAACCGATCTCGATAAAATTTGGCAAAGATATTTCTGAGCTGTATTTGATATATTTCCCTGAATATCGTTGTTACGGAGTGCATATTACGGTTGTGAGTAACTAATATAACAAATCGGATGAATAATATATATGGAAGCTATAGCTATATCTGAACCGATTTTCACCAAATTTGACATACTAGCTTTTAGACTCAATTCGGTCGTAAGTGCCAAATTCCATCCCATTTGGACAAATATTAGACGTTTGGTGCACAATAAAAGGTAAATCGGACGAAGTTATATATGGGAGCTATATCCAAATCTGAACCGATCTCGATAAAATTTAGCTAATGTATTTCTGAGCTGTATTTGATATATTTCCCCAAATATTGTTGTTGCATAGTGCATATTACGGCGGCGGTGGACAAAAATAACAAATCGGATGAACAATATATATGGGAGCTATAGCTATATCTGAACCGATTTCGATCAAATTTGGCATACATATTTTCAGGCCTAATTTGGGTGTATATGCAAAATTCCATACAATTCGGGCTGATATTACACGTTTGGTGCACAATAAAAAGCAAATCGGACGAAGATATATATGGGAGCTATATCTAAATTTTGACCGATTATCTCCAATTTCAATAGGGTTCGTCCTTGGGCCAAACAAAAGATCTTTGCAAAATTTCATCTGGATCGGGAAATAAATGCGACCTGTACTTTGTTTACAAAAATACATGGACAGACGGACGGACGGACATGCATAAATTGACTCAGAATGTGATTCTATGCATATCATCGAAAGGAACTATGGGTCTATCTCGTTTCCTTCTGCCTGTTACAAACAAATGCACAAAGACATAATACCCTGACCACCTTGTGGTGTAGGGTATAATAAAAATTATAGGAAAACAAGTAAAAACAAGTAAAAAAGCAGTAAGTTCGGCCGGGCCGAACTTTGAATACCCTCCACCATTTGGAATGAATTAGAAAATTTTCAAAAAAATAAAATCGAATAAAAATCTTTAAAGTATCTAATATAGGAAGATACCGATATATGGGGGGATATACGATATTGTGGACCTATAAAGACAAATCTATGTCTGCGTGTAAAGTACTCACAAGGAACTCCGTGTGTGGATTTTCAGACAATACGATTAGAAAATGTGGCTAAAGTCATCAAAATACCGAATATCGCGGGGTACCGTTATATGGGAGCTATACGTTATCGTTAACCTATATAGAGAATTCTCTGTCGGTGGGTAAAGTGCTCACAAAGAACCCCTTGTGTACAAAGAACCCCTTGTGACCATTCCGTTGAAAAATATGGCTAAAAACATCAAAACACCGAATATCAGGGGGTACCGTTACATGGGGGCTATACGATATCGTGGATCTATATGGACGATTCTCTGCCGAGGTATAAAGTACCCACAAGGAACTCCTTGTGTGGATTTTCAGACAATTCCGTTGAAAAATGTGGGTAAAATCGTCAAAATACCGAATATCGGGGGGTACCGTTATATGGGGGCTATACGATATTGTGGACCTATATAGATAATTCTCTGCCGAGGTATAAAGTACCCACAAGGAACTCCTTGTGTGGATTTTCAGACAATTCCGTTGAAAAATGTGGGTAAAATCATCAAAATACCGAATATCAGGGGGTACCGTTACATGGGGGCTATACGATATCGTGGACCTATATAGACAATTCTCTGCCGAGGTATAAAGTACCCACAAGGAACTCCTTGTGTGGATTTTCTGACAATTCCGTTGAAAAATGTGGGTAAATCATCAAAATACCGAATATCGGGGGGTACCGTTATATGGGGGCTATACGATATTGTGGACCTATATAGATAATTCTCTGCCGAGGTATAAAGTACCCACAAGAAACTCCTTGTGTGGATTTTCAGACAATTCCGTTTAAAAATGTGGGTAAAATCATCAAAATACCGAATATCGAGAGGTACCGTTACATGGGGGCTATACGATATCGTGGACCTATATGGAGAATTATCTGTCGAAGTATAAGGTACCCACAAGGAACTCCTTGTGTGGATTTTCAGACAATTCCGTTGAAAAATGTGGGTAAAATCATCAAAATACCGAATATCGGGGGGTACCGTTACATGGGGGCTGTACGATATCGTGGACCTATATGGACAATTCTCTGCCGAGGTATAAAGTACCCACAAGGAACTCCTTGTGTGGATTTTCAGACAATTCCGTTAAAAAATGTGGGTAAAATCATCAAAATACCGAATATCGGAGGGTACCGTTATATGGGGGCTATACGATATCGTGGACCGATATAGCCCATCTTCGAACTTGACCTGCCTGCAGACAAAAGAGAGATCTGTGCAAAATTTTAGCTTCCTATCTTAATTCGTTTAGACTGTGGCGTGATTACAACAGACGGACAGACGGACAGACGGACGGACAGGGCTAAATCGTCTTAGAATTTTACGCTGATCAAGAATATATATACTTTGTTGGGTCTAAAATGATTATTTCGATGAGTTACAAACGGAATGACGAACTTAATATACCCTCCATACCTTTTTTGGTGGAGGGTATAAAAAGCTGTTATTTCGGCCGGGCCGAACTTTGAATGCCATCCACCATTTGGTACAGATTTGGCAATTTAAAAAAAAAAGGAAAATTCGTTAAAATTCTCAAAATACAGAACCTGCATAGTCAGTCGACGTGGACCTGCATAGTCAACTTTTGTCGTAAGCTTTAACAATATTCAAATGCGAAACTTAAAAATATCATCAAAATACCGAATATAGGGAGGTACCATGGGGGTTATAAAACGTGGACCTGCACAGACAATTGTCTGTCTTAGGCTGTAGAATCTATTACGAACTTCAAATACAAAATTTGAAATAATTCCGGTAAATAATGTCGCAAAAATCATCAAAATACCGAATATCTTATATGGGGCCGTCATTGACTGTAGTATACATTACGAACTTCAAATGCGAAATTTGAAAAAATTCCGGTAAATAATGTTGCAAAAAACATGAAAATACCGAATATCTGGAGGTACCGTTGCTATACGAAGACGTGGACCTGCACAGTCATATTCTGTATAATTCATTACGAAGTTCAAATAACAAATTTGAAATAATTCCGGTAAGTAATGTCTCTAAAATCATCAAAATACCACATATCGGGAAGTACCGTTGTATGGGGGCTATACGAAGACGTCGACCTACATGGCCCATTTTCAATACCAAAAGTCCTGTAATACCTCAAAATATACATTTTAGACCCCACAAAGTATATATTCTTCATCAACATACAAATCTATGTCGATTTAGCAATGTCCGTCCGTCTGTTCGTCTATCCGTCTGTGGAAATCACTCTAGCATCCAAACGAAATGAAGTGGGTTAATAAAATTTTACTCAAATGTATATTATGTCTGCAGGACGTTTGGTATTGAAAATGGGCCATGTAGGTCCAGGTTTTGGTATGCCCCCATATAACGGTACCTCCTCATATTTGGTATTTTGATGATTTTAGCGAAATTATTCACCATAATTGTTTCAAATTTGTTATTTGAAGTTCGTAACGGATACTACAGCCTATGACAGAAATATGTCTGTTCAGATCCACGTCTTCGTATAGCCCCCATAAAACCGTGCCTCCCGATATTCGGTATTTTGATGATTTTTGCGACATTATTCACCAAATTTTTTTCACATTTGGTATTTGAAGTTCGTAATGGATAATACCGCCTATGACAGAAAATTGTTTGTGAAAGACCACGTTTTGGTATAGCCCCCATATAATAGTACCTCCCTATATTCGGTATTTTGATGATTTTCATGATGCAGGTCCACTTCGTTGTATAGACCCTAATATAACGGCCACATTCGGTATTTTTAAGATTTTTAACAGAATTTTTAATGGATATTATTTTTTTGCAAATTGCCAAA